CACCCCTGTAGACCTGGAAACCTCATTTTCTAGATGGTATAACAGTAAGGAAGCACCCTCCGATTCTTGAGAGCTGGTTTGGAAGAGTAACTAGACCCTCAAGAGAATTCTTATGAGCTAGAAGTAAACATTTAAGAGTTAAAGCGCTGGGTGTTCCGGTGTTGTTAACTGCACTAGGGCGTGCAGCCTACCATGAAGAATACAACCCATTTTAGATATCCCTCTTTCACAACTGCAGAAACAGTTTTTAAACTTTGACCTGAAAACAGCAGCGAAGGAATAATTGAATGAATGATGCACAGTTTACTCAATAGATCATTTAATTATAAACGGATATACAAAAATCACAAATCATTTGTTGTATGGTAGGAACAAATGTCCTTTTCACAGTTCAGTTCTGGCTTCACTTTTCAATCTTCCTTTAAATTAATTAGTGGCACCCGTAGCCTACTATGCCTAGGAAAAATGTCTTTGCCCTTGCCATGCCCAGATCCCCTTCTTTCCTTTATCCTGGTCCTACATCATTAACAGTCCATCTTCTGGTCGCTCAGATGGACGGGGCTCCCATATCCAATGCCAGTCAGAAGGGGATTGATTCCTTATTTGTATTTGCTGCTTAAAGTTCTCGCCTTAAGTGCATCCACTAAATTTCCGTGGCATTAGTTGCTTACCTTTCTAATTCATTCCTGCACAGATGTGTACAATGCTGAAACAGAGAGACGTCCTCCTCTCTGTGCTTTGGGTGCTGCCCTAGCCCATCGGGGTCCAGCGCCTGTGGGAGGGATGGATGGGACAGTGTTGGTGGAGGGGGTGAGTGACAGAAGAAGAACTTTCACAAAGACCATACAGTTGCAGAAGGTGCTGATCTAGCCCTGAAGCATTCTCTCTGACACCCGAAGGCCAGTTTTTGCTGTTGCACCCATACTTCCCAATCTTATAGCTGCTGCGAGTCTTTTTTTGAAACAAAGGGGAAATAAACAAATACAAGCTAGCTACAGTTTGCTTCTCCCATGAGTAGAGTACAGTTAATAATGTTTTTTTAATATTTTAACGCATCACCTTTCCCTTAATTCACAGACCGATACAAAAAATTAAAAAAATAAAAGTACTGTATTCTTTTTCCTGTTTCGTTTTCAATAATTCCTGAACAAATCCACATGACGTTCCTGCAGTCTGGTAGAAGAAGCACATGAAATGGATTCATTGAAACCTTTCCCAGTTCTCTTTGGTACGTATTTGGCCCCATTTTGAAATGGGGCCGGGCAGCTTTTGTTCCTATAGAAAAGAAGTTATGATTTAAGAAAACTTTACAAAAGGGAAGCTGATCTTGATGTTATCAAACTTCCTTCTTTTCTTTTGGCAGAATGTTTGAGAAAATGCCAATTGGTGTCGCCTATCATCAGAACTTTTCAGCATCTGATTGCGTCTGAAAATTAATTCTCATAAAACTATCGGACCATCTTCAGCAGATGCTATATATTCCTCTCTGAATAGTTAGCACCGACATTTGTCTCTGCATACTGAAATAGGACTGTATCAACTGTTTTAGCTACAATGATGCCATTACTAATGGCTGCATGGTCCCCCATTTTTGGAGAGGGGTGTGCGCTGGTATAATCTCAGGCATCCATATTCTTTTGTGGTGAGTGTTAACCAGAATGCTCTTTTTGTCCAGACTGTCACCAGGTGGTTTTATAATTAGAAGATTCACTCTAAAATGAAAGTCTGAGGTTGATGAGGCAGAACAAGCTATGTTTTAAAGGGGAATTCTTATTAGTACAAAATATGGGAGGCCAAACAAAATCAATTTTTACAGGAAGATTAACCAAATTGTTTATTATTGTAGTAAACATTGCAGAAGTCAAGGGGATGGGCTGTATTTGCTGTATTCAAGCAAGAGAGTGAAGTACTATGGTCTAATTTATGCACAGTAATTGTTCATCTTAGCATTCTCATAGTTTGGGTAGTGACTCATTTTGTTCTAGGTGACCTTTGTTCTCCAGAAGTGGCTGCTATTAAAAAGTAGAAGCAATAAAAATAAAACTTCGGGTTTTAAAAAGAACCTGAACATCAAGAGTAAAGCAAGGACTGCTAGTGTTAAGTAATCTGCTACCTTTATGCCTTTATAGTGGGTTTGAATATTTGGAAAGTAACTTTTTTTCCTAAAAAACATTCAGTAAGATATCTTTTTGGTGACATATTATTTTAACATTTAAAAAGGGAAAGCATGAAAATCAAGTTAGTTAATCATAGGCTTTTCCTTCTTCATTTTACATTCCTACTATTTGGTTTCCTTTCAGGTGTAGATGGGCATGTTAGAGGAAGGGATATATTTCAAAGAAAGAGCTTAATAAAATAATTTACTGTCAGCAGGTCACCACTAACAAGCAAAACTTTTATAAATCATGAGACAGTAGACTACAAAAGATGAATGAAAACCAATGCCAAAAGACACAGTTTCCAAGGGGTTTTCAAAAATGATGAAAGGATCTAAATGTCAGTGCAAGAATACATATACACAGAAGAATTGACTTCTTAAAGGTGTTTCACTCTGTATTTTAAAACTTTTTTTATTTTGGAAATTCCCTACCATAAACAAACGTAGAGAGAATGTTACTACTATAAGGGACAGACACCCAGAGAGTTATCAACATGTTTGCTACGCTTGTTTTAGATTTCATAATTTCTTTGATGTTGTTTTTATTGCTGGTGTATTTTTAGAGAGAATCCTGATGTCATGTTATTTCACCCTAAATACAACAATATACATCAAAAACAAAAATAATATGTTCTTATGTAATCATAGTGCAATAGTCACATCTAAGTGTGTTTAAACTGTCTCCTCTCACATCCCTTAAGCCATCATGAGTTATCAATAAATCATTTTCTTGGTTGATTTTTATCTTTATTTTACCCCTTTCTCCTCTATAGGTATCCCTTCAATTAGCAAAAGAAATCCTATACTTAGTTTAGGTTATTTTTAACATATCCTTGGGACCCTGCCTATGCCTTTCTCTGGCATGGTATGTTATTCAGAATCTTACACCATCTCTGAATTCTGCGTTGCAGTTGGCATGGTACAAGAAAATTACATTTTGCTCAAGTTCCAGAGTTTTGTAGAGTGTAAAAATACTCTGATTTATTAAAAAAAAAAAAGAAAAAAGAAATGAATCCATTATCCAGCTATGATGGTGTTGAGTAATCTGACAGGTAATGTCTATGATGTTTTTCCTGGGAGCCTTTGTTTTCAAATACAGAAAACCAACTTTGGTCAAATAAGGCCAATAAACAAATATGTAAAAATTTAAAAGTAAATGACTGGAAAGAAAGGTTTAAATCCTAGCCTGAAAAAGCACAGGAATCTGAGACTCTGGAGGAAGAGAGTTCCGTGGAGCAGAATCTTGTGGGCATTCTCTTCAGAGCCCTGAGATGAATCAGTTCCGTGTATTTCCCGACTCTGTCTCTCTCTTTACTCTGCTCAGTCTTAGTCTATTGCATATGCTTACATCTTGGCTAAGGCAGGATCCCTTAAAACTAGCAGTCCCACCAAGACCAAACACAATGAGACAGAGGTGGTTTCCCAAAGAAAAGTGAGGTGTTGATACAAAAAAAAAAAAAAAAGAATGGAGCCCTGGTGGACCAATTCAAGTGAGGCAAGGCTGAGAGTATAGAAACCCTAACTTCCTGTCATCAATGACTATCTGGTCCTTCAGCTCTTATTGACAGGTCATTGACAACCAGGCATCCTCATTAACTCTGTGTTCTCTTTTCTATATCGATGCACTACTATTAAGAACTATTACTCTTACTGGATCCCCTTTCTCCATCTCCCCTTCATTAAAAATCAGTGTTCCAAATACCTGTGACATCCACGCTGGTGGAGCTGATGGGTCTGTGTCCCTGATATTATCCTGCTCTCTTTTTTCAACTGATAAGAATGGATTAAAATTTTCAGTCCAATTAAAACTCTTCATTTCCTTTTTGGCTCACACTTTTTGCCATCCCCTCTGCCATTTGTGCCAGAACCATGCCCTTCCATACACGTGCACTGCACTCGTCCACTGGTTTCGTCAGTGCCTAGTGTGGCACAAAGTAGGCATACAATGAACATTGGAAATTAGCCGGGCTATAGAAAATTTAGTACTATACAAGTTTGCCACATAATGAAAGACTTTGGAGACTATTGGTCTAAAGGATATGGCATTTTGTAGTTAGGGACAAATGTTATAATCATTATTTAAGAGTATAAAAAGAAGTGGAGCTGTTTATGAATTATTTCTATTTCCAAGTGAGATAGTTTCTTCTGTCTGGTTAGCCCACTAAAAGATGGTTTCGGGCCCTTTATAAATAAGGTGTTTTAGAGTCAATGGGAGAGCAGTTCATTCAGGATCTATTTTCATTCAACTTCTTCTTTCAAATGTTCTTAATTCTTCTCTTTGCCTTTGTAGTCCCCATTTCCCAGGGAGGGAAATTCTGACTGTCCATTGGATGCTGGAGGCGCTTCCTGAAAAGTTGCTGGGTCAGAGAAGGTCCTCTAGCAACCACAGCCTCTTCCAGCTCCATCGGGGCTCCTGAGACTTCCTGCCCCTTCCTTCCAACTTCTCTCTCCTTCTCCATCATTCCTAGGAAATGACTTCCCATCTTCTCTCCTATTTCAAGCCCTGACTCAAATCCGGTATGCCATTAATTTTTAAATATATAGATTATTGAAATTGTCTGTACCGCACACCATGACTTAGTTTGCTCAATGGGGAAATCAATGAAAGATCAGAGTGACTGGAGCCTAGACCAGGAGGGAAAGGGCCATAATATGAGGTAGAGGCAGGGCAAGTAGGCCTACGGTCTGGGTAAAAGGATCTTGACTTTTACTCTAAGTGCAATAAGGGGCTCTGGTAGAAATCTATTTGGAGGGAAACACCAGACCTCATCCTATCCCCTCTGCCAGTGTCCCCACTTCCAGTTCATATTTACATGAATATGAAATTTTATGGGTGCAGACTATATAGTAGGAGGAGGTTTGATTAGTCAGAATATAGCTACTCAGGAGTTAAAATCTAAATAAGAAACTTTGCTAAGGTAAAGGGCCTAGAGAAAGCAAAGGAAATAGTAAGGGTGGAAATCTCACCTTATGAATACCATGGTCCCACACTGTAATCGCATACAAAAGCTTCAACCAGGGTTACCTTCGCCCACCTCAGTTGTTTCCTCCTGGAGTCCCCAGAGCTCCTCGGAGAGGCCTTTCCTCCTGTTTACCTGCAACAAGCCCAGAGCTGGCCTGGATTTTGTCCCACTGTGGTCAGAGCTAAGTGGGTCAACACCAGACGCCTAGTTGCATACTTTGCCCACCCTCCCTCTCCGTGTCTCTCCGGCTCTCTGGCCTGCCGGGCCACCAGACTGGGGGGCAAGTTGGTCTCCTGGGAGGAGGCTCAGGGAAAACCAGCCACTTTTGGTTGTGTCATCAGCCCCATCCCCTGATTAGTCTCAGAGCGAAAGCAAGATGTAGCTTAAAAAAAAAAGAACCTTAGTTGGTGGATACCCAGTACAGAAGTCATTAGAGAGAGTATTAATTTCCACAAACACCATGCTTTCTGAGCTGGCTTATGCTCCTTTCCCCTTGCAAACAATTTTCCTCCCTTAGGGCTTCTTCCCCATCTTTGTTTTTTTTTTTTATTACTGCCCACACATACGCACTGCCTTTAATAGTTCTCGATTGGTTATCATATCTAGGAAAATCTACCTTCTAAATTTTTTTTTTTCTTACTAGGCTCTCATTATCAGCACCTTAGTTCAGGATCTCATCACTTCTCCCCTGGGCGGTTGAAATGTCCTCGCTCGACTCCTTCCTGTCAGTCTGGTCCCTGCACAATCGCTTCTCCACGGAGGTGTTTTCAGCATGCAATTCTGTTCGTAGCACTGCTCTCTCGAAACCATTCCAGAGTCTCTGCAGAAGCCACAGGACAAAACCTCAGATATACAGCCTGGCAAATGCAGGTGCCCGTGGTCCGTGCCCTGTCTCTGCTCTCCTCCAACCCTTGGCAGGAACCTTCAGCCCAGCATTAACAAAAGTACTTCAATTCCCCTAATATGCCTGACTCTCTTATAACTCTGGGCCCTCCGCTACATAGTTCCTCATCTCGACCCTTCATTGTCTGCCCGGCGACACTAATACCCTGCTCACCAGGGCAACACCAGGCCACCTTCTCCGGGAAGGCTTCTGTGATTTCACCACCCTACAGTTTTCCTCAGTGCTCTCACAGTACCTAGCTAATACTTCTTTATAACACTTCTTATACTGCTTTTCCTCTCTGCTGATACGCCGTTTATCTCACAGAGTGGAAGCTGCTCCAATAAAGGCACTGGATAGCCTCTCCGTCTTAGTATTCCTGGTGGGTAGCACAGAACCTGGACTACTGTGGACATTACTGCTTAGTAAATTAGTGAATGAGAACAGAATGGAGAGAAACTATCCTACAAGTGTAAAAATCTATTAAGCCTGAGCACACAAAAACAGACTTCCTTGTTTGCAAATCACACATATGCAACTTAAATTAGCTTAGGATAAAAGGAAGGTTTATTGGAAGGATGCTGAAATATCTCAGGTAATTGGAAAAAGAATTTGTCAACAGAATAGTGAGCAAGAAAGTCTAGGAAGCGACTCAGCCCGCGGAACACCGAAAACGGGCGTTGGTTTGCCAGAGTGCGGGCCTGTGCGTCAATTCGGGCCATCGCTGCTGCTTATGACTCTGACCCTCTCACTGTAAACTTTTTTCCAGTTCACTGGTTCCTATCACTAGCTACACATTTGAATCACCCGGGGAGTTTTCAAGAGATATTGACACCTGGGTCCCACCTCAAACCAAGTCGATTAGAATTTCTGGGGGTTGGTGCCCAGGCATTTTTTTAAAGATTCATGGGCACCCAGAGTTGAGAACTACTGTTCTGTGTGTGGGAAACAGAGGAGCCCGTAGCTCCTGGGTTTCAGACGCCATTCCCACAGCCTCCTCCCCGGGGCAAAAACAGACTGGCTGGCAGTTCTCATTCAAAAGTTTCCCACGGAAGGAATCTTTTGGGCTTACGTTGGGCCTAGTGCCTGTTACTGTATTCATCAATAGTGGTCGAGCGCGTGGGGTCACATTAAATATGGCAGTTCATGCTGACCCTTCGGTTGGAAAGCATGTTCGAAGCAGTAGTCATTCTAAAGAATGGAGATGATGTTTCTGGAAGGAGGGTTTTAACCTATAAAACAATGTTTAATACATGCGTAATAAAATAATATTTACCACAGAATTAAATTCATTACGGCAATAAATATTTGCTTGTTCGATGAATGAATGATAACACATTGAATGATATGGTTAATCAGTACTGTGTACCTTAAGATTGAGAGACAAACAGTAACCATTTCGCATGAATGATATCATTAGTATTACTATTACATAATCCTACTAAGTTTTGTTTTGTTTGTTTTTTTCCTTAGTTGTCTAGCA